TTCACTACTCAGTACTTGTAAGATGATATTTGAATGTGCTAAAGTGCTGAAGTTAGTACTTCTTATGCCGTGTGATATGACACGAATATTCACTACCGTCTGTATGGTGATCTTTCACTAGCTGTAATAACTGTCTTTTTATTTCTTTATTATTAATTATTTTTAATTGCACAAATTGACAGTATATAGTATGATTATCTTTTTATAAATTACATGTACTTTTAAATGATGAATAAAAACATGAAAACTGTACATATTAATAGAGTGCCATGATGCTGTGATACATATATTCACTGTATAGTGTTTAAATCAGGTTAAACACACCTCCTCACATTTTGTCATTTCTTTATAGTATAAACATTCAAAGTCCATTCTTCTAGATTCTTGGGATGTACAGCACATCACTGTTCTGTGTGGTCACCTGCTCCGCACAGCAGTATTTCTTGCTGTCATCTAACTGCAACTTAGTGCCACTGATTAACCTCTCTCTTTCTCGCTCCCTCCTCCCCACTCTAGTAGTTAACACTCTACTATCAACTTCTAGGAGATCAACTGTTTGGGGTTTCACATATAAATGGAATACAAGTATATCCAGTGATATGTGTCTTTCTGTGCTTTGTTTATTGTACTTATCATAATTATTGACAATTCCATCCATACTGAAAAACCCTGAAGAAACTAAGTATAGAAGTATCACACCTTAACATAATAAAGGCTATGATATGAAAAACCCTATAACCGTCATCATGTTGAATGGAGAAAAACTGAAAGCATTTCCTCTAATATCAGGGACAAGACAAAGTCCCCACTCTCACCAATCTTATACAATATAATACTCGAAATTTTAGACAGAGCCCCTGCGGCTTGAAAAAGAAATAGAGGGGATATAAATAGTAGAGTAAGTAGTTAAATTATCCCTGTTTGCAGATAATATGATTCTGTGTTTAGAGGACTCTAAAGACTCCTCCAAAAGACTCTTGCAGATAATAAACAAATTCAGCGAAGTCGCAGGTTAATATCAACATATAAATATTTGAAGCTGGTCCCTATGCCAACTGTGAATTGACTGAGAAATGAGAAGGGAAAACAATCCCATTCACAATTGTTCCAAAAAAGCAATACTACCTAGGAATAAACCTAACCAAGGATACGGGAGACCACTACAATGAAAATTATGAAAAACTGAAAAACAATGAAAGAATAAATGAAGATGGAAAGATCCCCTTTGTTCATGAACGGGAAGGATTAATATTGCTAATATGATCATATTGTCAACAGGAATCAATAAATCAATGAAATTACTATCAAAATTCCAATGACAGTCTTCGAAACGTGCCAGTGCACAAGAGATGCCAAATGACCACAGCAATCCCACACAGATGGAGAGCAATGCTGGAAGCATCTCAATACCTGACTTCAAATATAATATAGAGGCATATAAACAAAATAGCATAACATTGGCATAAAATAGATGCATAGATTAATGGACTAGAATAGAAGTAACAGATATAAACCCATGAATCAACAGCCATTTGTTTCTCAACTGAGGGGACAAAAACATACATTGGATTAAAGACATCCTCTTCAAAAATTAGTGCTGGGAAAATTGTATATTCACTTGCACAATTTTGAATCTAGATCCCTAGGTCTCATCGTGTACAAAAAATCAATTCAAACTAGATCAAAAACCTTAATGTAAGATCTGAAATTATGACAAGAAACACACAGGAAAGACCCATAGGCCGTTATTTCCTGGACAGGAATAACAGTTCTGGAAATAAAAGCAAGAACTGACAAATGAGATTATACCAAGTTAAAGAGCTTCTGCATAAAGGGCAGTGGAATGTGACGGACATCATTATCCAAAGTACATGTATGAAGACTCAAATTGGGTGGCAACATACTTTATATATAAAGAGATATGAAAAATTGTGGTATATATGTGTAATAAGAATTGTATAGTGCAAAAAAAACCAAAGTACATGCATAAAGGCATAAATTGGCATGAACATACTCTATATACAAAGATATGAAAAATTGTACTCTATATGTGTAGTAACAACTGTAATGCATTCTGCTATCATGTATTAAAAAAAATAAATCAATAAAACTAAAAATAAATAAATAAAATACAAAAAAAGCTTCTGCATAGCAAAGGAAGCAGTCCACAGAGTGAAGAGACAATCTACAGAATGGGACAGCTACTCATATGACAATGGATTAATATCACACACACATAAAGAATTCAAGAATATTATCAACAATTAACACCAGAGAAACAAATAACCCAATTAATAAGTGAACAGAAGAATCAAACAGGTATTTTTTCCAAAATTACAAATGCCTAACAAATATGAAAAAAATGTTCAACGTCTCTAACAATCATGGAAGTGTAAATCAAAGCTACCTTGGCATTTCATGTCACTCCACTTTAAAAAGGCATTCAAGAATACAAATAACAATAAATGCTGTTGAGGATGTGGAGAAAAAACATCCACTCATACATTTTTGGTGGGACTACAAATTAGTACAACTGCTCTGGGAAGCATTATGAAGATTCCTCAAGAAACTAGGATTGGAACCACCATGTGACCCAGCTAACCCACACTTTGATATATATCCAGAACTAAAATCAGCACAGTATAGTGATTCAGACACATCAGTGTCTATAGAAGCACACTTCATAATAGCCAAGTTATGGAATCAACCCATGTACCAGTCAACAGAGGAGTGGATAAGGAAATTGTGGCATATATACACATTGGAGTTTTGCTCAGCCATAAAGAATAATTAAATTATGATATTTGTTGATAAATGTACACAACTGCTGAATATCATGTTACATGAAATAAGCCAGACCCAAAAAATCAGGGGTCAAATGTTTTCTCATATGTAGAAGCCAAAACAAAATAAGGATAAAAAATGGAGGGATGAATCCTATGAAAATAGAAATCAGTGGAGGAGAGGAGGGGGCTGTGGGAGAAAGAGGAGGGACACATCTATCCTATGTGTATATATGTATATACTACAGTGAATTTCACCTTTATGTATATTTGTAAAAAAAATTTAAAAACAATAAATAAATAGAAGACCAGTAGAAGAAATGAACAGGGCAGAGAGAAAAAAAAGAGAAAGTAGTGGGGACTTAATTGGAGCAAATTATATTCCATGCTGGTATGATTATGTCAAAATGAACCCCAGTATTATGTGTAACTACAGTCCCCTAATAAGAAAGAAGTACAGGACTCCACTAGTTCTATATTCCACAATATATTGCATTCTTCCGAACTGAAGTGAGATTATATCACATTTTTAATGAAATGGTCTGATATTTAAGAAATATGAACATAAGATTTTTTGTTAGATTTATAGCTTTATAACTCACATAAATGTAGGTAATACATTTATTTAAGATCATTTTTGTAAATGTATATCAATAAAAAAGCAACTAAGATTGTCTGAAAAAAAAAGAAAGAAAGTTAAGTGTTAAAATTTTTATCTCATATGCAGGAACTGCACCAAAATAAGACTTTCAACTTTTGTATGTCTAAAAGGTACTAATTTGAAAAAATAAATAAGTATATAGAAGGAAGACCAGAAGAGGTGAGAAAAGGAAGGGGGAATTGCGATAGAAAATTGAGGAAAAAAGGAAGTACTAAAGACTGAAATGGAGCAAATTATATTACATGCATGTATAACAATACTGCTTTAAAAAAACACTTTAAAAATGTAGCAACAAAAATTGAGTAATCCAAACAACAAAAGAATAGATGATCTAGACACACACTTCTCAAAAAAAGTACAAATGGTCAATAAATGTGTGAAAAAAATCTCAAAAGTTTTAGCCATCAATCAAATGCAAATTCAAACTACATTGTGATTCTATGTCACCCTAGTCAGAATGGTTATACAACAGATAGTAGGATGAATCAGACATAACTTTCCTGTGTTCATATATGAATATTCCACAAGTGACATCACATAGAGCCACAATAATGGGATCCTAATTAAAATATTATACTCCATGTATGTATAATATGTCAAAATGCACTCTACGGTCATGCATATCTTAGAACAAATAATATTAACAACAACAACAAATTCTAGAAAATTTTAGAGAAAAAAGAAATTCTCACACATTTTTGGTGAGAATGTAAAACAGTACAAAAACTGTGAAAAACTGTAGAGTGAGTTGTTTCTCAGAAAATTAAAAATAGATCTACCATATGATGCAGCTATACAACACCTCAGTATATACCTAAAGGAAAGTCACCAAGCAAAAGAGGTACCTGCGTATCCATGTTTCCTGTGTATATTTCATAATTACCAAGTTATGGAATCAGGATATATGCTCCATCAAAGATGAATAAGAAAATATGATAGACACATACATGCACAAACAGGAGTGTTATCCACCAAAAAATGAAATCATGCCATTTGCAGAAAAATGGATAGAATAAGAGATTATCATGTTAGCAAAATAAATCAGAAAGAGAAAACAAGAAATACTTGTTTTCTTTTAATGTGGAAGCCTGGGAGGTGGCAGGGGGAGACAGCCTGAAAGCAGTAGAGAGACTTTTAGGGAAGGGAAAGAGGACTGGTGAGTAAGGAGAATATAAAAGAGTAGCAGGAGTAAGATGAAAGCACGACATATGCATTTATTGAAATATCGTGGTAAAAAACATAAGTTTGCATAATTAATATGCATAAATAATTAGACTTCAAAACTAACAATGTGATAGAACCACAAAAGAAACAGAACAATCAAAACAATCCTAAGCTTTGGTGGTGGGGTTTAAAAAGTTGGAGCTATCACAATAACTGACTTCAAAATATGTAAGTTACAACTAAAACTTTGGTGATAGCAGATTATCATGTTCCTGGCATTACATGTAGACCAATGGGCCAGAACCTGGGAACTCTGAAATTAAGTCATATGCATACACAGAGCCAATTTTTGACAAAGGTGCAAAGATCATATGGCCAAAGGAACGTCCTCTTCAATAAATGGTGCTTCCAATAACTTTTTTGAATGCACTCTTGACCTCCTTGTTCCTGAGGCTATAGACCACTGGATTCAGCATGGGGATGACCATCGTATAAAAGACAGAGGCAAATTTGTCTGTATCCATGGAATGACTGGAGCTGGGCTGTAAGTACATGAAGATAATTGTCCCATAGAAAATGGAGACTGCAGTGAAGTGGGAGGCACAGGTGGACAAAGCTTTCTGATATCCTGCAACTGAGCGCATCTTCAGGATGGTGATGAATATGAATAAGTAGGATACCAAGACGACTAGAAGGGCAAACAGGACATTGAAGCTGGCCACATAAACAAGAACCAGCTCATTGACGTGTCTATCAGAGCAAGACAGAGCCATGACTGCTGGAACATCACAGAAAAAGTGATGCACCACATTGGACTGACAGAAGGAGAGACTGAACGATTCCCCAACATGGATGGAGACATTCAGGAAACCTCCCAGGTAGCAGCCTGCAGCCAGACACGCACACACACGTGTTGTCATGGTGGTGGTGTAGTGCAAGGGCTTACACACTGCAGCATAGCGGTCATAGGCCATCGCGGCCAAGAATAAATTTTCCACACTGGCAAATCCTCCAAACAAGAAGGCCTGAGCAGCACAGGCATTGTAGGAAATGTTGCAGTTTCCTAGAAGGAGCCCAGCCATGACTGTGGGAGTAACCGCTGAGGAGTAACAGAAATCTGCCAAAGACAGGTTACCCAGGAAAAAGTACATGGGAGTGTGGAGACGAGAATCCAAGAGGATCAGTATGATCATCCCCAGGTTCCCAACCACATTGATGAGGTAGATGAGGGTGATCATGATAAAGAGGGCCACCTGTAGTTCTGGGGCACTGGTGAGTCCTAGGAGGATGAACTCTGTCACTTCTGTCCTGTTCTCCATCAATGTCGCTGGGGAAATCAGGAGATGCACTGTAGCAGAGAGGAATAAAAATGGGGCACTGAACATAGTAGAGACTGCAGTGAGATCAGAATGTTTATGTACCATGTGCATTATTTTATTACTGTAGCCACACTATGTACTTCAAATTTCTCATAACTTAAAATGAGCCTAACAATATAACTGAGTGTATTACTTATCTCTACAGCTCCAGAATGTTGAATGAGGAGTCTACATGGATCATGTTCATGATTTATGAATTTGATATCTGTGAGAGCTTTTTGAAAATTTAGTACGTTATACTTGACAGTGTTGGAATTAATAATTCAATCAGTTCATGTTTTCCTGTCTTGGTGAAGTCACAAATTCCTTCTGAATAGCTCATGTGTCAGGAATTTGTCTGGATTCTGGACATTATATCTATAGTCCCTGATTCCTCAACAAGTTTTTGAAGTTGGACAGTTGTTAATTTAATTTAGATTGTGTGACACCAGAGGCTGAGTAATGTATGTGTGTTTCTAGAAGTATTAATTGGAAAACTTTGGTCTCATACATAATGGTTACCATGACCGATGGCCTATATTAAACTAGAAGTGAGTTGCAATTTACAATTACTCATTGTCTCCATTGGTCCAAGCTCAGTGTTTGGGATTTTGCAGCAGTCTCCTGAGATATATGCATGGTGGAGGCGGTGAGATAACAGGGACCATGGAGACAGTTCTGGTAGGAGAGGGCACAGCATCAGTGCAGGGCTGGTCTCTGGGCAGAGGTGCACATCAACCCTACAAGTACAAGCTAAGAATCACTGATATAACTTAACTTCCCTGTACCAGATTTTCTTACTTGCAAAATGAAGATGGTATGGACCCTCCCTCAAGTCATCATTGTGATAATTGAGATAATACATGAAAAACAAGTGAATGCAGAGTGTTTAAAACAACCTGCAAAGTGCTATCTATACTATTATTAAAAGGATGGACTTAGGGTGTCACTGTGGTTTGAGAAAGGTGGGTACTAACAGGGGGGGGCTTCAAACTTGGGTCAGGTCAGTCATCTAAAAGCCTCTTCCTTACGTTTCTTTTTCTCACTAGTCCCCCAAGTCCACTGATATTTTATGTGCCTTCTGTTCACACCCTGTCCTTGAACTGCCCATAAAATTGAAGGCATTCCATTGAGCCCCTCTTCTGTTTAATTTCTTTGAAGTCCATATATTTTCTCTTGAGTTGAAAGAGTGTTCATTTTCTCTTTACTATAAATCTATAGTTGAATCACAGATATTAGTGGTCAGATATTCATATTTTCAGGGTTACTTTAGCCTGCAGATCTGTTTTGGTTGAAACCTCCAACTTTAAATTTTTTATTTGGTGAAGTACATTGACCATGTATTTCAAATCTTTTAATTTTAAATTGAGACATTTGAAAACACTCATTTCCTCCTAACAATGATTCCCTATTATTCTCATCCTTTTCTTGGCAACTTTACAAGTCCAGCCCAGGCAGGCCTTATGATTGCTGATGTTAACATCCATATATTTTTAACACAGAGTGTTCTCCAGTGTGCGACAGGAGATTTAGATATAAGTACCTGGGTGATTGTGTGTGCATTTGTGCCTCTGTATATGTAGGATTTCTTATTTTTTCTTACTATTAAGACAAATGATAACTTAAGAAGTTAAACGATATTCTAAAATTCCAAAAGTAGATTGAAAAAGATTCAAGAATCAATACTCAAACTGAGTTGAATCTTAGTTAAAAGCTCATAACTTTAGCTACATCCCCGTCAGTATTTGTAGACCTGCCACTAGTAATAAGAATAAGAATGGGATTATGGGCAGAATGTTAAGATGAAGTTCAGATCTTGCTAATTCATTAGGTCCCTTCCTGTTTAAAGAAGGGCCACTGCACTCTCTGTTTGTGCCTTTTAATCTCTAGTGAGAAACCACCAGGTTGTGAACAAATTGAAATTACCATTTATTCATTCAGAGTTTGATCTAACCTTTAAAACATATTTTTAGAAAGCAGAAAGATGATCTTTGATAAATATCACTAAATTTTGTCCTGATGACCTTTTGATATTTATACTCCAGCCTCACTTCAGTGTTTTAGAAAAACGGTCACAACCCCAACTTCTGTGCTCACGTAACTCATGGAAGGTCCAGCTGTCCTACCACCTTTCATGAACAGCAGTTTTCAGTAACTTTCACATTGATTATAGAAGCTTACCTTGCTCTTCAAACCCAAATGATAGTCAGTCCTGAACAGAGAATCTGAAACCAGAAATTCTTCCATTGACTAACACATGGTGGGAGCAGCTCTCTTGTGGGGAGTGAACAAAATATTTTAAGGTCCCATGTGGAGAAAAGACCAGTAAGCATTTGGGTCCTGAATCTACAATGTATTCTTACTGTGTCTATGGAGGACTCATCTCCTCCTGATTTGCAAAAGAAACATTACAATGTTACATCTCCTACATCATCTACAGTAGTATTCTTGCAAATAATAAAATTTAAACACAGCTAGCTTAGTGGTTATGATTTCAGAGTCAAATCAATAGAATTCAATCTTGGGGTATTTCTCTTGACTACAGTTGTGCACTCACAGCAAGGCTTGAAGTTGGAAGAAAACCTTCCTACGCTAACAGATAATAATATCCATATGAATTAATAATGACAGTGCATGCCATCCTTTCCCTCTAAAATAAACACCGGGAATTATGTCAGACCTCAGAGACAAATGCATGTACATCAGCAGGGAATGATGTATACACAGAGCTCTCCTGGGATGTCCTCCCACAAGGGAACCTTCAGTGCTTCATCTCACTTTTTAAGGAAAGAAGCAATTAAACTATCTGTGAGACTCAGCTAGATAGTTGTGTGCACAAGTATAATTGTATTATTATATTTCGTTTTCAATCTTTAGTATATAAATGAAAGACCAGTATGCACAATTGTTAATATAGAGCTTTAATTATTTTCCAAATGTATAGTATAACTACTATCACAATCAACCATAATCAATTTTCTTAACCATGATGGTCAATTATATCACCCACTTACTGCCCTGGAAAACACCATCAATTTTTTCCTTTTGGTTTTGCCATTTCAAGAATGTCCTAACCTAGACCCCTAGAATATATTACCTATATTTAATTCAATTAGTGTAATGCAACCAAGAACTATTCATACTGTTATGTACATCAGTAATTTTCATTACGCATATTGAGTTTTATTTACATTCCCTAGTTGAGGGACATTAATGCTGTTTTCAGTTTTGGAGGTTAAAAATAAAGGACTTCTTACTTTTGTTTTCCTTAAGGGTTTTTTGTTTTATTTTGTTTTGTTTCAAAGATAGGTTTCATTTCATTGAGTAGGAAACACTGCCTCACTCGTCCTGTGAGGTCAGCGTAACATCACAGCAAAGCTAGACCAAAAAAATTAATAAATAAAACTATAGACCAATACCCCTTTTTAATATAGTGATGTTAAAAACAGTCACAGGACAAATCCATAAATTAACATAACTATAAATCATGACTGTGTTGTATTTACTCCAAGAATGTAAAGGTGCTTAGGTAAAGAAAAAGAAAGCCTTGTAATTAACCATATTATTATAGTGAAGAGAACAACAAGATCATTTCTGTAATCTGGAATAAGCACCCACTTAAGTTTTAATTCTTTCTTGAAAAAAATACTCAGAATGCTAGGAACTGAAGAGAACATTCACAAACTAAAGAGAACATGGACAAACCACAGCTAAGATCATAATCCAAAGGAAAAGGCCGAAGACTTCCCCAAACATCAGATACAAGGATTGCTGCTCTCATCACTCATGTTCAAAATTGTACCAGAAGTTGAAGGCAGGCCAAGGAGCAGGGAAATAAAAGATACCAAATTGGAAAGAAGGAAACTATGTCTATTCTCTGGTGACATGAAATTCTATAACAAAAATATTTAAGTGTATATGTAAAAAGTATTCCCTAATAAACTTAATCAGTAATGTCACAGGATTGAAGATCATCAACCAAATTCTTTTGCACTTCTACATACAGGCAATAAAAAAATTTACAAGGAAATAAAAACCATTTATAGCAGCATCTAAGTCAATCATATATTCAGAAATGGATTTTGCCCAACATGTATTATACACATGTATCTTGAACATACAAAAGAAAAATTGCTGAAATCCAAAACCCCTACACTTTAAATTTTCATGGGCTTTAAGAGTTAGTTTTTCATATAGCAACACTTTCCAAAGGTATCTATAGATTTAAGGAAATCCCTACCAAGATCCTAATGGCTTGTTTTCAGAAATGTAAAAGCCAATACAAAAAGCTATATTGAATTTCAATGAATGTTCCACAACTAAAGTAAACTTGCAGAAAAACAAAATAGGTGCACTCAACTATTACAAATTCAAAATGTAGGGGCTGGGGATGTGGCTCAAGCAGTAGCACACTCGCGTGGCATGCGAGAGGCGCTGGGTTCGATCCTCAGCACCACATACAAATAAGATAAAGATGTTGTGTCCACCGAAAACTAAAAAATAAATATTAAAAAACAAATTCTCTCTCTCTCTCTCTCTCTAGAAAAAAAAAATTCAAAATGTATTCCTCAACCACCATGGTCATTGCAATGTGGATTGGCTTAAGTGAACCCATGGAATGGAATTAAGAGTCCAGGAAAGCATGTGTTCAAGGTCAATTGGATTTTGACAAGGGTGACAAGTTTACTCAATGGAGAAAAACATTCTCATCAGCAAATAGCATTAGGACAAGTGGAAACACCTGATCAACTCAAAATATATCAGGGACTGAAGAAAGAAAAAAATAAGTTAAAACCATAAAACTGCTAGAAGAAATTATGGATAAAATTCATGACTTCGGATTTAGTAATAGATTCTAGTATACAAACTAAAATGATAAGAACCAACCCCAACAGTGTATCACAATTACCTCTGCTATGGGAGATGTGGTTGTACCGAGTGTCAGAGATGGAACCTCAGCA